CGGGTGCCTCCCACCAGCGCCCTCGCCCAGGGCTCAGCTCCCGTCCGCTGAGTCCAAGCCCCGACCTGCTCAAGCCGGGGGCGGGTGTCTCTGGAGGCCCCGGTCAGGCGGCACCCCACAAGTCCACCCCAGCCCAGCCCGCGCCCCACGGTGCCACCTAGCGCTGGGCCTGGCCACCCCTCCCCCTCCCCGCCCCACCCCCCTCTATCTTACTCCTTGTCAGGCTTCCAGAACCAGAAACCCCCTTTCCCTGACCGGAGGTTGCGCTTGCTGGGCCTCGGCACTGGCCCCTCGGGTCAGGAAAGGCCCGGAGGGACAGACCCGCTCCCCCAACCCCTGGCCACGCCTACCTTCCTGCAGCCGGCCGTCGGCTGCCGCGGCGCCCCCAGCAAAGATGGTCTTGACGTAGATCCCCACGGGGCCGTAGACGCTGTCCTCGCCCCCCACAATACTGAAGCCCAGGCCCTGGCGGGAGGGGGCGTCCACACGGCCGGGTTGGCACCGAGGCCGCCGGGCAGCGGCTGACAGGGGAGGGCAGTCTTGTGTCTGGCCAGTGGTTCAGGCCTTCCTGGGGGTCAGCGGGGCCACCGTCTGCTCCCCAGGGACACTGCCTCTGCAAGAGCCCCAGGGGTCCCCTCCAAGACTGCCCGATGGCAGCCGCCAGACTGGCCTCCCTGTGTCCCCGAGGGAGCCCCCCAGCACTGGCCGCCCCAGGCTGCGGCCCCTGAGACGCGCCGAGCTCACCTTGGCCTGGCCCTTCATCAGCACCACGCTGGAGATGACCGAGGCCGGGGGGGGCCCGGCAGCCTGGCCCAGCTGCGCCGAGCTCAGCGAGCGGGTGGGTCTCGGGACGCCCTGGGGCCAGGTGGGCGAGGACATCAGCCCCTCCAGGGTCACAGAGCCCGACAAGGTGCTGCACCCCCTTCCCGGCCTCCTCTTACCCCAGCCCTGCTCGCCGGACTGTCCAGCTGCTGGGAGAGCGCCTTCCGGGCGCCGCACAGGGTGTAGGGCCGCCTGCTGGCCGGGGCCGCACTCTCTCTGCTCCCAGGGAAGCCCAGGTCTCCCGGGCCGCAGGGGCTGGCGCCTGGGGGGAGGAGGGCATAGGGGTTGGAGGCCCAGGAGCTGCCCGCCAGGCCCAGTGCCCGGCGCGGGACGAGGGCCGGGCACAGGGGCGAGGGACCAGCGTGGCGGGCGGCCCTGCTGGCTCCATGCGAGCCCCTGCGATGGGGGTGCAGGAGGCGCCCGCAGACCCGACGGCGGATAGCTGGCCCAGGCCATGCCTGCGGTGGGTGGGAAACTGGGTTGGAGCCACCCCGAGTGCCCCGGGCCTGGGCGGGCACCGGCCTGGAGGAGATGTCGGGCGGAGCCCTCAAGCCCCGGGCCACCACACTGGCCGCAGACTCGGGCGCCACTGCCCAAGACCCGCCCGGGGCCGCCTGTCCACCCGGCTCCAGGGGCCACCTGGGCAGCCCTGCTCCCCGCAGCCCCCCGCGGCCCCGCCCCACCACGCCCCCTGCAGTCGGAGGCCCCGCCCCACCCCTGCGGCCCCTGCCGCTGCTCCCCTGCCCACCTATGCACCCCTGCAGCCCCCGCCACGTCTGAGGGCCCACTCACTAATGGAGTTGCTGCGCGCCCTGGGGTGTCCGGCTTTGGGGGCCAGGAGGGGGGCGCTCTGGGGCTCCAGTCTCCCCGACTTCCCTTGAGAGCAGTCGGTGGAGGTTTCCTGCAAGACAGTCCCGTCTCACCCGCGGGAGGTGTGGAGCGGAGGCAGGCGCAGAGCCCGGGCACAGCGGCGGGGCGTCGCGGGCCGCCCGGGAGGAGGAGGGCCACCGCGGCGGGCACAGGAGACCAGGAGGGCGACCCGCTCCCTGGCCGCGGGAGCTTGCCGTGGGGTCTGACCAGCTGGGAGCTCAGAGCGGCCCGAGCTGGGGCCCGCTGCGCACTCCTGCCCTGAAGACGGGGGCCTCGAGCCGCCGCACGTTCTCTCAGGCAGCCGCGCACCCGCCACGCTCCCAGCCCCGGATTCTGGCGGCCTGCGTGGAGGGCCGCAGGCCCGTGCGGAGCGCAGCTGGCCCTGGGCCTGGGGCCTGACCGGAGCCCCGTGCCTGCTCGGGGCTGCCTGCGGCCCTGCGGAGCTCTGGGGAGGGTGCAGTGTGCCGCAGAGGGCACCCACCTCCCGGGCCCCGCCTGCAGGTCACCGCGGCCGTCCTGGTGGCGGCCAGCAGCCCCGACCCTGTCCGGCTGGCCCCACCCCCGCGCTCGCCAGCTGTCTGGAGCCCAGGCTGCAGACCCCTCGTCCGGGCGAGGGGCCACAGGGCTCGGGCACGTGTCCCCGAGCTGTCAGCGGCCACTCCCGCGGGGCCTGGGCAGCGCAGCCACATGGGGAACGGCCACCAGGGCCCAGACCGCCGCCTGCCCG